CCCCCCCCTCCCCCCTGCCCCCCGGGGGTAACTAAGGAAATTTACCAACCATGTCCTCAGCTTCTCCATCAAATTTGCACTCACTGGCCTAATAAACCTAGATTGATTCAATTACACTTGTGAGCTACAACATTTACTTCTAAGCTTAAAAAGAGCTCGATTTGTATTAATTTAACCTTAACGAAAGGCCTGTTCAGGAACTTGAGCACGGGCTTGAGCTTACCTTTTGCGAATTGTTCGCGCTAGCGGCACTTTGCTGACTTCTTCTACCGCTCATTTTACTTCTACGTCTTTCAAGTACCGAAAATTGAGCTGTATAGAATCTAGTTAGTAATGCTCACGATTCCGCTGAAATGAAGATTGCACCATCACCTGTCACAGCATTGCACCGCCAATTTCGGTCAGTCAAAATTGTATGCGTACGAGCGATACTTGGCACCAGACTCCCACTTCTCAGTAGACTGGTCACGCAACGCTGTACTTCTCCGCGCGCAAGCCGGAGTTGCGTTACGCTAGCCAAAAAGAAATCGGCCAAATGTAATTTTACTGTTTTCTAACTGGATTCGAACAGAATTGGGACTCATTGTACCATTTCTGTAATTTACCAGTGCAAAAAGAACAAAGAGAAAGAAAGACGGTGTTTCAAGGGCGCGGGAAGAAGAGACGTTGTTGTGATTGGCTCGTTATGTGTTTCATCCTCTGTAATCGTTCTCACTTGGTTAGTTATGATCATTTCTGTGAACACCACCACTGTAATCTCCTCCATTTCCATGCATCCTCCTTTACCAAAATAGGTCTAGAAATAATGTTATTAAATTGTCAAAATTCTAGAACGCCTTGGCAAGGCTTGCTGATCAGGAATATCTGTCTCCAGGGCCGTAGCTAGTGAGGGAAACCGAGGCACTTGTCTCAGTCATTTTAATCGTTTCTGTACTTTCTTATTCGAAGAGGAAAGTTAAAAAAAAAAGCTGCTAAATACCTATAGGAAGAGAATTTCACCATGGACATTGCCTCAGTCCGAACGCGAGAGAGCGGCGGAAATCGAGCTTAGCTAAGGCCCTGATCTCTCGCTTTGCTTCTTCGATTAAGTCCAACAGTGCAGAGCGCGAGCTGGGCGCGATGGAAAGATAGCATTGTTCCTGTCTGAGATTTTGTTATAATCGTGAAGTTTGTTTGTTTGTTTTGCTTTGCTGTTGAGGTGCGGCAAGATGACACAGCTCAACCTAACCGTTTATTTCAGTAACAGTCACTCTATTAGACTGGAGCTTTGTGGAAAGTTATTTCAAATTCTCAGCTACTATTTTGACAAGATATGGGAAGGTAACGGCTATATGATATAAGGCAAGCCAGAGAATTATCAAGATGTTTTATTTCCTAAGTTACCGGTGATGTTTCATTACAAATTCAATTTACAACATGTTTACCTCTTCAAAAAATAACTGAATCTCAAGTGCTATTGACTAATAGATATTACTAGCTTTTTTATCTCTACGTTTACTTCTTACGTGGAAAGTAGCTGTCCTGCAGTCTGGGACATCGTTGATATAAGCCCCATAAATTATTCGTTTCTTATTGCAGCTACGAGCTCTGTGAGTTTGCCCCCATGGTTTTTCGTTTTCTCTTTAGCAAGAGATATTCTCTTACGAAGCTAATAGATGTATAATTATTCTTGAGAAAATATTTCAAAATAAAATTCGGTGGAATCGGCTTGGATGTTCATTTCATTTCATGAGTTTTGGCAGTGTATTAAACGAACTTAAATAATAATTTAATTAACAGCCCAAAACCTCGGTTTCATATATTAGGTGAAAATTCAGAAAGATACTTTTGAGTGAAAAACAGAGAGTTTGGGTACCTTAATTAAAAGAAATTTTGATAAGTAGTTTTTCAAAAGGCACATACTTTAGCCTTTCAAAAACTTCTTAACGCTCTCTACATATATTCCCCAACTGCTTAAATGCTACTAAGTGAATCTACATTAGAATACACATCCAACGATTCTGCAAATGCAGCTTGGCTTTTCTTTCTAGCGGCAAATCACCACAAACTTCCGAAGCTCTCCGAAGATGAGCCGAATGACTACGATCGGCCTACGAGAGCGATATACACTGGAATCAACTAAGAGGTTCGATGTCCACCAACAGGTCTCCTGCTTCTAAGGTCTGGTTCAATTTGACGGAGATTTTATTGACAGTGCCGTCGATGGGAGCACTCACGTTGGTCTCCATCTTCATGGCGCTAAGCACGACCAGTGGGGAGCCCTTCTTCACGACCTCCTTCTCCTTGACCCGGATGCCGACAACTTTTCCCGGCATGGGAGCTCCCACCGAGCCTTTGACCGACTTGTCTGCTTTGGGATGTCGCGCGAGTGTCTGTGGAATTTAAGAACAGGAGTCAATGCTGAGATAATTTTGAAACACATACTGCGTGCGAGAAAGTAAGCCAAATATTCAGTACAGAGCGGTTTTCACTTAAGCGTTGAAAAGTAATTAGTTTTGCATCACTGCGCAAAACGTTTGGCTCAAAAAACTCGCGCCACTTTTTCATCCAGTCAAAGGTAAAACCAAAACCAAACGTGACGCGCTCGCACAAGTTTTCCCGCGCTGCTACATGTATCTGCTTCAAGCTCTGATTGGTTCATTGGATTGTCTGTGTCCTTTGTGATTGGCTAGAGTAACTACTTTGGTTTTGGTTTTACGACACCAGTTGAAACCGCTCTATATGTTAATAAATTATAAAGCGTTCATAAAACTAAATACCTTAGTGACAGACTTATCCTCCACCATCACCGTCCTCAGCTGTCCGTTCATCTCACAGAAAACTTCTCTTTGTCCATTGGGGTGCAAATTACTGATTGCCAAAACTTTAATGTTCAACACTTTACCAGGCTCGATGGCCACCTGGAACTCCTCGCCAATCTCAGGGCCAGTGAAGAAGAGCCTGGTGGGCAGCCCATCGACTGGACCAAACTCGTCCCGGAACATCATGTAATCATTAAATACTTTGGGGTACAAAGCAGCGCTAAGGACGTCTTCATCTCGGATGGCACCCTCACCTGTGAAACCAAGATAACCATTAAAGTTTACCGAGCTGCTATCTAACGATGCCGGAGTCCAAAACGATACGATTCCATTCGATTCCAATTCAAGACTAGCGGGTATAATCGTATCGTTGAACAACTTGTTGAGGAGATCTGGTATAAGGCTTGCAAGTAATTGTGTTGGTGATGAGTGGGGGAGGGGGCAAGTACCATTCCACTGTAACGGTATTTTTGGCGATCTGTTACGCAAAGTATAGTTTTTTAGCAGTGTCCCCTAATTAGTATGGTGTTTTTATTCCCAAGCTATAAGGTTTTTTGACACTTTAATAAAGTTCTCACTCACTCACTCGCAAGAACTAACTACGACAATCGATATTTAGTGATGGATTACTAAGAAAATTGTCAACAAAGAACAGAAAAAAGTTGAAGCAAAATGAACGGCACAAAAGTGACGGTTCCAACTGAAGTTTCATAGCAGCCTTTTTCCGAGAACAGACAATTTACACCAAACGTAAATAAGATGAACCCTCTAGATGAAATTCGGGGACCAAAAAGAAAAATTTCCGTTCCGAATTTTCAAGTTTCCTTTATCCCACAATTCACAGTACAAGGAATAACATAAGAAAAGTAGAGATTAGTCTACTTAGCGCCAGACCTGACCAAAGCACATAGTAAATAAATACTAAAGTTTTTGATCTTACCAAAATCTTCCTGTAGTTTCGCTTTCAGTGCATCAAAGTCAAGTGGTTCCAAGGATTCACCTGGTCTGCCATCAATGGTTGGACGGCCCTTTAACATCTGGTAAATTAAGATAAAGCGAACATGATAAAAATCCACAGAATCGAGAGGCGTTGAGGCATAAGGCCCCCGTCCTCACTACGCGGGACGAATTTGAAAACGGCGTTTTCACTCTGAAAACGTATCAATTTTTTTACGTCCACACTACGCCGTAGAAATTTGGAAACGCACAGTCACCGGTAATTTCGCATTTGTATTTGAGGAGACCTCGGGCAGGAAAGTCACATGGTTATCGAGAAGCTCCCATTTCAAAATGTTTTCTGTCCACACGAAACTAACGAAAAGCCGGTGTTTTCAAATTCCTCCGGTCTCAAGAGCGTTTTCGAAAAGCTCCGTTTTCGTGACGGACTAGTGTGGAATGCAGGCCTGACCGTAGAAATTAATAAAGCTGGGGTTTTCACATTTCTCCGGCGCAGCGTAGATGGGGCCTAAACTGTAATCCTATCACTTTTATAATTTAAACCACTTGATATACGAGGAAACATGAATTACGGCGAAAGATGAATTTAAGTAAGAACACTTTGTAAAGTCTTCTTTGTAATTAGTACACCTTGAAAAATTTTCGTTTGATCGCTCGCTTCGGCCAGTCTTTTCAGCTAACGAGGTTTAAAATATCGCTCTTTCTAAAAGCGAACAAACAAACAAAAGAAAACATAGTGGTTTTTGTTAGCTATCTGCACTGAACAGCAGTATAGGAGCGTGTGAGAACGGGTTCACTAGAGGGGTATAGGATAAAATAAATATAAATATAGGCAAGAGTAACGAGCCCTGAGAGGTCTGGAGAAATAAAAGAATTAGTTTCATCGATCACTATAGAGAGGAAAGTTTAACGGTTAACGTATAGCTTTAGAAGTGTCTCGCGCTCAAGCGATGTGGGGCGTCCGGTTTAAACTGTATACAAGCAAGCTTCCGAATCACCTTTTGAAAGGTACAAGTCAAAGCGAATTTTGTTTTTCGTTAATATGGACCCAAAACGCTGAAAAAAAAAAACGCACGGTGTCTGCGGTTTGTCTTTTATAATCAATAGCAGTAAGAAGTTACAGAACAATTTCAAAATAGGATTAAAAAAAATTAGAGTGATCGTACAAAAATCTCACACGGTGAAAAAAATATTCAGTTCAAACTAAAAAATTCGCAGACACAGTTTTGTTGTTTCCATGCCAAAGGTATACGCCAACCTTAATTGGAGTTGATAAACGAATAAGACTTGTTCAACTTGTAACTAAGTACAATAAGCTGGGATGATTTTATTCAATGAAGAATATTAAAAAAGAACACATTTCAAAGCGGTCTTCATAAGAAAATAAAATNGGCCAGTCTTTTCAGCTAACGAGGTTTAAAATATCGCTCTTCCTAAAAACGGACAAACAAACAAAAGAAAACAGTGGTTTTTGTTAGCTATCTGCACTGAACAGCAGTATAGGAGCGTGTGAGAACGGGCTCACTAGAGGGGTATAGGATTTGTATTTCTCCCTGAGTGGTCGGGAGAAATACAAAAATATTAGTTTCATCGATCACTATAGAGGGGAAAGTTTAACTGTTAGCGTATAGCGTTAGAGGCGTCTCGCGCTCAAGCGATGTGGGGCGTCCGGTTTAAACTGTATACTGTTCACAGCCTCTCAATTTTTCAACGCACGCGAAAGAAAAAGCGAACGAAGCGAGCTTGAGGCACGCGGGGGTAAGGGTGGGGGGCGAGGGGGGGGGGGAGGAAGGAACGAAGCGAGCCACCTTCTCCGATGTGAAGTTTCCTATTTTGTGGTGGCGTTCAGTTCACTCGCGATTCTATCTGTGCGATCAACGATCGAATAAAAGTACGAGAAAATAGAGGACTGCGAACAGTCTAACTGTAGATGCCTAAACCCTATATCAAATTATAGAGCTGGCTATCAAAATATGTCGAGGATTTTGAAATAAAGTGAATTGTCAATTTTTTTTTTATGATCTCTAAATGCAAGCATCCGAATCACCTTTTGAAAGGTACAAGTCAAAGCGAATTTTGTTTTTCGTTAATAAGGACCCAAAGCGCTGAAAAAAAAAACGTGTCTGCGGTTTGTTTTTTATAATCAATAGCAGTAAAAAGATACAGAAAATTTTCAATAGGATTAAAAAAAATTAGAGTGATCGTACAAAAATCTCACACGGAGAAAAAATATTCAGTTCAAAATAAAAAATTCGCAGACACAGTTTTGTTACTTGTATGCCAAAGGTATACGGCAACCTTAATTGGAGTTGACAAAAGAGTAAGACTTGTTCAACTTGTAACTAAGTACAGTAAGCTGGGATGATTTTATTCAATGAAGAATATTTAAAAAGAACACATTTCACTGAAGCGGTCTTCATAAGAAAATAAAATGTCTTTAGTGCGTTACACTTTTCGTTGTTCACTAAGCGAAAACAGGCATACTTTTAATCAGAAAGAGAAGCCAATCGACAAAGCCCTAGTGTTAGGGTAATTTATTTTAGCCGCAAAAAACTAAACTTTAACGCATCGTTTACCTTTTTCCTGCGAAAAGCAGAAAACTCAATGGTCGAAATGCCAGCTCTGACACAATTAAACGCAGGTGGGGTAGTGTTAAAGAACAAATCTCTCGCGCTTGTATAAACAAAGTGACAGCACGTTCAAAAAGAGCAAGTGCTTGCGATTCGAAACCTATTCAAAGAGTAAGAAAGTTGAATGACAGTTGCTCAAATGTTCAGATCTCTCACAGAGTGACATAAATACCGAAATTATCTTATAGACGAGAGGTCGATAAAAAAGTACTACAGCTATATATATTTACAAGACTGGCTGGAAAAGGTCGAGTTAAGAGAAATTGGGCAGGTGTGTCGACACTTAGAGAAAAACAAAAACCGAGAAACGTTTTCACTGAAAACAGAACTGGCGCAGGTTCTCTTGCCTGCATGTGCAAATAAGAAAGAACTGAGAATTTTTGACCGTCGCTTTCTGAGATCATTTTTGAAGTTGTCTAAGACCGAAAGGCAGCAGTATAGCACAGAAAATGCACAGATGGTTCTGGATCATAGGCTGGTTCCCGACCACTTTAGCCGTGGCANCTTGTATAAACAAAGTGACAGCACGTTCAAAAAGAGCAAGTGCTTGCGATTCGAAACCTATTCAAAGAGTCAGAAAGTTGTGTTGCTCAAAACTCAAGTGGCAGCTGATATTCAGATCTCTCACAGAGTGACATAAATAACGAAATTATTCTATAGACGAGAGGTCGATAGGAAAGTACTACAGCTATATTAAGTGAAAAGACTGGCTGGAATAGGTCGAATTAAGTGAAATTGAGCAGGTGTGTCGACACTTGGAGAAAAACAAAAACCGAGTAACGTTTTCACTGAAAACAGAAGTGGCGCAGGCTCTATTGCCTGCATGTACAAATAAGAAAGAACTGAGAAATTTTGACCGTCGCTTTCTGGATCATTTTTGAAGTTGTCTAAGACCGAAAGGCAGCAGTATAGCACAGAAAATGCACAGATGGTTCTGGATCATAGGCTGGTTCCCGACCACTTTAGCCGTGGCATGCAATGGACTCGTGATCTGGCTAATCACCACGAGAAGACGACTTCGAACTACGGCCAACTGGTTTGTCATGTCGCTTACAGTGGCTGATCTCTGCATCAGGTTGATCTTATTTCCAATTTTGTTCACTTGCAAGAAAAAGTGGTTTTCATACACGGCGCAAAACGAACACATTATTTCGACGTGGTTGATTTTTTCTGTACACGCTTCGGCTATGAATCTATGTGCTATGACAACGGATCGCTACGTCGCCATTGCCATGCCTCTCAAGTACATCACCGTGACTTACATGACGCCCGAGCGAACTATGCGATTGATAGCCGTGGCGTGGGTCTTCCCAGCCGTTCTGTGGATTTTATACACGGTTCTAATCCTACATTTTGCTGCTTCGACATCCGTCGTCGGATTTGACTGAAATCCTCATTAAGTGCGCGCTTCAAATTTTACCTGCTGTGTTACTGACCACAGCGACTCTTCACATGTTAGTGATTGTTCGACAGAGATCTCAACCCTTCTTGCCGACTTGCAATATAATCGGCACACTTCCGAAGACAGCCCGGGCGTGGTCCGACGGAGCCCCGAGACGTATTCGGCGGCAGTTATCGGAGTGGTCGTACTCGCGTTTGTTCTCGGCTATTTCGTCGAAAATTATTTCTCTTTCTGTCAGATCTGTCCGTTGATTTTGGTAGACGTTGTTTTACTGTTCCCGTTGATAAATGTCGCTGCAAATTCCCTTGCCTACGCGCTTTTAAAGAAAGACATTAGAAGAGAAGTGAGAAGTGTAATGTTAAATGTAACCAGATAGGAAACAACAAGTAAATGCGCGACCATCGTCAACATCTTTAAGGTGAAAGACATGTTACAACCGTTTATTTCCTTCGTGCTTCGTGTGTCCAGCTAATGAAGTGCAAACCTACAACGAACGTTTTATTTTTCTTGGACAAAAGCGCTGGCAAGGAAACCAACAGACTATCCGCACTGTTTTGATTTTCCGTCCGATTTGAACAAGCAATTTTGAATAACGCAGAAAAATCTTAATCAAGTACAAAGTCCTGTTTTACACTTTGTTCTTCCAGCTAAAGTGTGGCTTGAATGTTGTGGTACGTTCTTGAGTCTCGACAAGGAAATCTAAAACAGGTTATTCGCCATTCTAAAGGGGCTGTGAGTTCCTAGTCTTTTAAGCGCGAACTGTATACGGGGTTTATATGGCAAATATTCGTTTTTCGCGATGAGTCTGTGATCTGCGATAAGTCACAATCTTGAACGCTCTAAATGAAGCGCACCCTTAACCCACATTACTTCACTGACCTTGGTTCTAAGCGGCTCTGGAAAGCCTCCGTGGGGTTGTCCCAAGTAGCCTTGCATGAACTCGACTACAGATGAAGGGAAGTCCAGTTCCTCAGCCTTCATGAGCACGTCACGGTCATCCAGCTTGTTCTGTACCATAAACTGCGCCAAATCACCCACCACTTTAGAGGTTGGAGTCACCTAAGGAAAGAAAGTACTGTTAATTTCTGGATGGCGCGTTTTCACTCATGTGGCAAGCAGCCATGCAAATTTATTGGAAAAAAAGAAAGAGTTTCATAGGTAAAGAGTTCAACTCCCATAGGATTGGTTTCGGACATCATAGTCTGACTGAACATGCTCTCTAGTAAGTACTAGTTGGGGGCGAAGGGATACCCCCCACCCAAAACTCCACCTCCCCTCTCGGCCACTTCACCCTTGGCCAGTTTCTTCTCGGCCCTTCCGGCCGCGGTCAGTCCCTTCCAGTCGGAGCCTGTTCACAGGCTAGGGACACCACATTGGCCGCTGTTTCACTGTTTTGGGACACTAATATGGCTGCCGTCATGTGAAAACACTCCATGCGATCAACATGGTCAAAACGTCAGAGAGAGAGGAGGGGGGGGGGGGAGGGGGAGGGG